AAAAAAAAAAAAAGGGAAAAGGAAATATTTTAAGGTCTTTTTTGCCATGTCATTGTTTTTTTTGCCATATCATTGTTTTTTTGCCATGCTGTCATCTTTATCCGTCAGGTAATGGGACACGTAAGCCAGTTTTTAACGGAAGGACCAAATCGGGGTTAAAATGGTAAACAGTAGGGACCAAATCAGGGATTTTTTTAGTTCAGGGACCAAATCGGGGGTCCGTACAATAGTTGAGGGACCAAAATGGGGTTTTAACCTTATAAATTTTAGAGACCTATCATTCACCTCGCTAAAGGTGATGGCAGGATGTTTGATTAGGCTGTCTCTGAACCTATCATGTTTAAGACCGGAGATCACAGCTGCAATGCCCACAGCTTGGTCGAAGGAACTAACCTCCAACACTACATCATTGAATCTGCTCATGTAGTTCTTCAGAGACTCTCCGTCCCTCTGTTTAACTCGCATCAACTCAGAAGTAGTTTCCTAATCAACCTTCTACTGGAAAACTTAGTGGCAAAGGCAGATGTCATTTCTGTATAAGAACTAATTGACCTCAGAGGTAGACTGTAATACCAAGTTCGAGCATTACCTCGCAAAGTAGAGGGGAAGATTTTGCACATCAACGCGTTAGAGGCATTCTGAGCTTGCATGCAAGAGTAGAAAGCATGCAGGTGATCATCGGGATCTTTCGTCCCATCATAAGTCTCCAGTTGTGGTATTTTGAAGCCAGCAGGATAGGGTTCCAGTGTAATGTTAGTGTTCAGGGGGTGAGGTATGGAGTCAGTAGCATGGTGTGGGGGTGGGGCACCTCGGTGTTCAGCTACTAGCTTTTCCAAGCTATCGAGGCGTCGAGTGACATCATTAGGGAGGGGTTGCTGAGCGGGTGCTATGTGGGATTGACCCTGAGATTCACTAATAGCGGAAGCATGCTGAACCAGTTGAGGATTCTGTTGTGGAGCTGGGAGTTGTTGAGCAGGGTTCAGTAAATTAATGAGGGGATCACCAGGGTTGTTTCTAGCTAAAAGCTGAGCCAATACTAGCTGGAAGACACCAAACTGCTGTTGCATGGCAGCAAGCTGAGTTGCAACTATGTCTTGATTGGCAGTGGAAGTTGAGTTGTGAACTGAGGCATGAGGTTGGTTTTCATCTCCTCCTTCTGCATGATCAATAGGAGGGAACATAGTTGGGGCCTGAGGTGGAAGCTGAGGTGGGAGTTGGAGTTGAGGTGGGATCAGAGGTGGAAGATTGTTGGGGGGTTGACCTTGCCCAAGGGGCAGAGATGAATTGCCAACTCGGACTGATCGAGTATGAACCATGATGAAAGAGCAACAAGAAAGCTTTCAGTTTGGTTTCCCACAGACGGCGCCAATGTAATTGCACCAAACCAGAAGTCCTTCAGTCCGCGTTTGCACTCCGAGATGACCTGCAAAGCCACGAGGTGAAACTCGGGGTAGACACTCCGATGCTTAAGTCAGCAACAATAGGGGCTACCTTTAGAGCGGAGATAAAAAGAGCTTAGGGTTGGTTTCAATTACCTTTTGACGTGGCCCGGGGGGTATTTATAGGATCCAATGAGGAACCCACGTGGCATGCCAAGCAAGATAATCGGAGCCTGACGTGTCTATCCAGACGATTATTCCGGGACCGGGAATTTGAGAGGTATTCAGATGCAAGGACGTCCATCATACCTGCTGTGCAGCTCGCCATGAGGAATCAGGTGCGGGCATGCTTATTGTCATTGCCATGCAGCTATTTGAGCGGGAAGCTTTGGATTTATCCTTCACTTTGGTCATAAATGAATTACTGTAGCAGTCCGAGGTTTGGCACCTCGGATCTGTCCTTACAACATCTTATGCCACCAATACCTCTAAGCTTGGCAGAAACTTTGCAATTCGGTCGTGATGAAATTATTGTTGATCCATTTTCTGAAGCTGAATTGATGGCTGGAGAAAATGCAGATTTATCCCCTTCACATTTTGTTGATTCTTTTGTCACTGGTGATTTACCTCTCTTTTTGGAGAGTTGAAATGGAGTTTTCATTCTTCTCCTGTCATGATCAAGAAGCCGTATGTGGAAAGGATTCATGGACGAGTAACAGACAGGCTCATTTCGAGCTCCACTTCTATCCAAGTCAACATCTCCATTGTTCACCTATATGTCAT